ATCTAATGCTGTTCCACAGGGGTCTGTACTAGGTCCGTTGCTTTTCCTATTATATATCAACGATATTCATACTTGCTGTGATACTTTTAATTTCTACCTCTTTGCTGATGATACTAACATACTGTATTACAACAAGAACCTAAGGTCAGTTGAGGCAACAGTAAATTCTGAGCTTAAAAAGTTGTATCTTTGGCTGGTCTCAAATAAATTAACCCTTAATAACAAACAAACCAATTTTGTTATTTTTCATCCTTACCAGAAGTCTGTTGACTGCCTTTCCCAACTTAAGATCTTGGATACTGATACCAATCAATACGTTAGTTTAGAAATGAAAAATTATGTTGAATATTTAGGCATTCTGATTGATAAAAATCTTTCGTGGAAAATACACATTGACAATGTAGCTACTAAATTAAGTAAAACGGTTGGTTTAATGCTAAATTGAGGCACTTTGTTCCTCAACATACCTCGCTAAATATTTATCGTGCGTTAATCTTGCCTTATTTATTTTACGGTTTGATAGTTTGGGGGCAGGCGTCAAAAACATATTTAACAAAAATCTTATTGCTTCAGAAAAAAGTTATCCGTTTCATATTTTTTTCCCAAAAGGAAAGTTCATGCCATTCCTCTTTTTATTGATGCAAATATCCTGCCAATTATTTTTCTCTATTTTAAGTCCGTATCTTACCTAATGCATGATATTCATACTAATTCTGCACCCTCAAAAATCGTTAACTTGTTCTCGCAGACATCATCTATTCATGAATATAACACAAGATCATCCTCTAAAAATAATATGTTCATCAAAAAATTTAATCTTGAAAAACTAAGACAAGCCGTTCCAATTTTTGGCGCTAAAGTATGGAATGAGATACCAGGTAGAATGAGAGATATGTCAAAAAAAGTGTTCACACGAAAATTAATCAGTGTGCTCTTCGAAATATTAAAAGACAAAGATGATTACCTTGAGGCAACCATGATAACACGAGAAATAAAATCGCGAAATCCTAAACCTTAGCTTCTTTCACAGGTTGCATTAAACAGATTTGTCTTTCTTGCTTTTGAATTCATTACACATATTTCTTCTTTTGTTTTTCTTTGCTTTTTGCTTATCATATGCAATATCTGATTTGTAATAGAATTAATTTGGCACGCCTCGACTAGCGTTTTCTTGCTAACCGCGTGCCAAAAAATTGTACTTGTAATATTATGATAATAAATGGCCGTTTTTATGCTAGAGACGTTAAAGTCGTCTAGACGCATTTAACGTCTGAGACGTTAAAGTCGTCTAGTGTAAAAACGGGACGCACAAAAGTAGACGACCTTATTTAAAAAAGTAGATTTTTCTGAAAAAAGGACGAGGCTCTACTCTCGGAAGACACTGGACACGAGTTAAAGCGGCGCCAAAAATGAATTTCAAGCTAGCAAACTTCCTAGTTTACGACGTCCCGTCTTTATACCAGACGACTTTAACGTCTGAGACGTTAAAGTCGTCTGTTAAGTGCGTCGTTCGGACGCACTTAACAGAAGACGTTAAAGTCGTCTGCCTTATTTACCGTTTTTATACTAGACGTTAAAGTCGTCTTAAGACGACTTTAACGTCTCTAGCATAAAAACGGCCAATGTCTTGTCTTGTCTTGATGATAAATCACCGACTTCAAATATGCGACGCCTTTTGGGACAAAAAAGGTTGAGTGGTAAAGGGGCCTGTTCTTAAAAATTGAACATATAGTGGCAAGGGTGGACAATTCGATTTCTTTTAAATTTTATTGGAAAATAGGCTATGGGCTATAAGAAAAATCACTGTATAGTTTTTTCGGTGAAATGTCCTATTATTTCGGACATAAATGTAAATAACCAAAAGCTCTTAAATTTGTCATTTGAGGCCTTAAATTATTACAGGGCTTTACGATCCTCAGGTGCAAAACGCCATCTTTATACCCTGCTGTACATTTTAGTCTCCTTTCAAAACTCCTTGAGTTGGGAAAATAGCACTTTGTTCTTTGGCATACAATTTGCTTCATAAAAAGTTAAGCTTGAAAAAATAAGGGTATTTGATCGTTGACAGTTGCCACGGTGCACATTACAAGTTAAAACAACAGAGGTCGTAGAAGTTATGCAACAAATAATCCGAGAATCATGCTAAAATGGTCTTAAGATCGGCTGTTCATAGCAGATTAGAAAGTTAGAACATTTTGAATTTTTTTCTATGAGCTTATTTTAACCTAATGTTGGTTTAGACACGTGTGGGGACTAAATATTTGTCTTGTTCTCAACTTCAAAATTGACCGCAGAAGGTCAAAGATCTTTTTTTTTTAAACGGACTTTGAAAAGTTTCCGTGTCGCTCGTAGTGATTTGGCTACCAAAAAGTTTTATAGTGGTCTGTATATCATTCTTTTTTAACATTCAACCACCAGGGCCGAGTTCTTTAAAGGTAGATTAAGATAACCCAGGATAAGTGCGAGATTTTCATTCAGATTTGAAAGCTTAAAAAGTATTTCAATTTTAATTTTTTTTGTTTACAAGATGATGACTGGGAGCTCGAAAAATAACAGGAAAATTATCCGAGAAAATGCTTTAGAACACAAGAAAAAGAAACCTGGGTTACATTTAACCCCGGGTTAAGCGCTAAACGGCCTTCGAACAAGAAGGCCGATTTTAGTTGATTTAAAGGCTTTGCTTATAGTGAAAATTAACTTTTCCCTCAACTTTCGGCGCTTTATCTTTACGACTACATATTCCCCGACAGCTTAGTCATTGTTTAGATTTGTATTCAGGTTACGTTGCTAGCCAAAGGGTTTCCTGTATGTGAAACAATAAAAACGAAAATAAGTTGTAAAATTCTTTGTCACCTTTTTGAGTTAATTGACTGAAGCACTTCAATCGATCGCTAACAGATCAAATTCACAAGGTAGTAGTATAACAAACTTTTATTCACAAATAAGTGATTTTTTTACCGATGTTTTAAGCATCGTTTTTGACCAACAGAAAAAGCAAACGTTGACGTAATAGGCAAATTCTGTGTTCCACAATATGTCATTTTCTAAACGGGGCTAAGTGCCAAACCTTTCTTGTAAAAAATGGGCTTATTTGCAGGAGATTAAAAAGTCATTTTCATATCAATGACTTCGTAGTTAGCCTTGCTATGAGACAGAGGCTTGAGGCAAATTTTATATTCCTTTCTGCCGAACCAACATAAGAAAGTTTTCTGTTTTTTTATCAAGGTCCTGTTTTCTTTAATAAGCTGAATGCTTTCATTTGTGACGCCCCCTCCTTATATTCGTTCCAATCCAGAGTTAAAAACTCTCTTCTTTCCTGTTATTGAATTCTTAACTTAAATTAGTAAGTAAGTAGGTAAGTAAAGCCTATATTTAAAGAGGGTAGCACCTAATAGCCAAAGGCTAATAAACTTGTGGCCCTCATAAAGTACACAACTATTTACAGTCTAATAAATATTGTAAGCTAAAATATATAAACATTTTAAATAAAACAAGATTCGATTTTTATATATATAAAAAATATGTATATATATATAAAAATTATTAAATGATAAGATGATGCAAACATTGTTGTTCCTTAAAAATCTTGGCAAACATGTTTCTTTTTAAAGCATGCTACAGAATCTAGTTTCCTAATTTCAATTGGTGTACTATTCCACAGTCTTGTTGCCGAAACAGCGAAAGAGCGTCCTCCCTCTGTTTCTCTTCTATATTTAGGACAAACGGCATTAATGCTTGAATATCTAGTGTTGGGGGAGTGCCGCTTATTATTCAAAATTAAGTGTTCATTTAGATAATTCGGCAAATACCCATTAATTCGCTTATACATTATTATGCATTTATCTATCTTGTGTTGCTCATAAAACGGAATCCAACCTAGCTTGTTAAACAAGGCAACCGATGGTGTCATGCGATCGGCATAAGAATATAACGCGTGCCGCACGTTTTTGCAATCTTAAGACCCTATAAACCGACTCTTTATCGCAATTTGCCCAACAACGTTAGCGTAAGACATAACAGGGCGAATAATGCTATTATAAAACTGAAGTCGCTGTTTAGTCTTTGTTTAGTTTTTCGTTACTACATGTATTTTTAATGTTTTACTGTCAGCGAATTTTCGCTTTACTTATTTCTTTGTGACTGGGGAGCCCAGCCTTCATAAGCCTTCTGGTTTCTTCTGGGCTTCCTTACCAACTTGCAATTCTTATATGTATTCTTGTATCGTAATTTATTTTGGCTAAATAAACTGAACTGAACTGAACTCAGAAAGGGTATATTGTATCCTAGTTCGTCTACTGTAACGCGTTCACGTAGTTTGTATCATCCAGCTTGTTCTCTGCGTCCTACGTTCCTACCTTTTCTCTAAATATATCATTAAAGATCTGGCCCACTAGTGAATCAGTTCGCTTCTTTAAGGGCCTGTTTACAGGGAGGTGGGGGACCCCCACTTATCATGTAAACGTGATGAAATTAAAATGAGAGATTATATGTACAGGCGGGTTACCCCACCTAAGCGGTTCACGACTGAAAAGAAACAAGGCGAGTAAAATCGACTGAGGCAAATTGTGTTTTTCGTGTCTTTTTTGCCTTTCATTTATTTGTTTTTTTATTTTTATTATTCACTTGTTTATTTTATTTTTTAATTTATGTTGTTTCACTTTTTACTCTTGACCTTTTCAGTCAATCATGTGCGTACGGTGCGTGCAGGTCGCCACCCTACTGACTGTACCCCAGTTTTAAGACAATGTTTACGAGCTTCGTCAAGCGGATCAAGGTTGTTTTAAAGCTCTTGCTTCTTCGCTTTCTTAACTGTTGTTCACTGTCAACAATGTTAAGATTGATCATGCCATAAAATGAAATTAGAAAGAATGCAAACTAGAAAAGGTTCAATATCAGTGAGATGTTCTGTCGTTCTTTGTTTCCCAGGTATTCTTGCTGGTTAAAAATCATATTTATCACATTTATATTTCCAGCTCATCCTTTTTTTTTTTCATTTCAGTTGTTATCTTCCTCTAAGTTGTTCAACGACAGAAAAAAACAATCTACAAATGAACTCCTCAAATCATTTCCTATGGTTTCTCGTGGTTGTTGTTTTAGAGGGGAAATGCATTGCCAGCACTAAAACAGGTGAGTATTAAATGATGATTTCCAATATGATTTAACAATTGTGTGTAAGGGTGATCTTTTAACAAAGGTCACCTCGATAAATAACACATATTGAGAGAAAAAGAGGACGTGACACTGCTTCTGTCTGAATCCTTTAGGTTTAATTATGAAACTTTACCAAGTAACGACTTTTAAAAATCACTGGGATTGAAATCACTTAAATGTAAAAGAAAAAACGAAATGGTTTGGTGTAGTAGTAGTTGTATGACGACCTGGTATAAAATGGCCGATTGATACACAGTATTTTTAGTTATGATCAAAGTGGTTTATCCATTCCTTTGAAACCCATTTATTACAGGTAAACCTATAATAACTCTGCCATTTACAGTCGTTGAGACAGTAAAGGAGCATTTATTGTCGTGCACCGCCTTGGGAACGCCTCCCATTCAGGTGAAACTGTTTAAGGATAACATCCTTTTGGCAAGTGGAAAAAGCAGCATACATTTTCGACTAAATGAATCGGTCACGTACACATGCCTCGCCAGTAACTCATTTGGTACAGATTATAGAGATTTCCAAGTTACCCTATTAGGTACACTGTAAAATGAAAAGAGCCAAATCGACCCCAAAGGCCAAATCGGCCCCAATTTATCGAGGGCCGATTTGGAACATGCTGGGCCGTTTTGGACAGAAAGAGTCAAAACAGTTCTAGATGGTACCAATTCGGCCCATCTAATTTCTGAATCGGCTACACTAAAGCTACCTTGGCACTTCCTGTCAATTTGGCCCTTCCTATAGCCAAATAAAAATAGCGATTTGTCCCTAACAAGGTATATGCCGGAGAGACAGCCTTTTTTGCCGTCAAAAGGGGCGCAAGGAAACCGCCGTGTTTGGTTGAAGAAACCATACGTCTGACACAATCCAACTTGTAACGTCAGTTTAGTCAAGCGAGGATCTAATAAGATAACTTTACTCGTAGACCTAAAACCGTGACGGCGGTCAAAGACTGTAAGGTAACTCATGGTTCCAGCAAAACTTTGCCTCGAGCGAGGCTTCAAATCGGAAACAAAACTTCAATCACGCTCCCGAATGTTCTGCACGTGATTTCAATATCGATAACATTACATGATGCGTCACGCAAACTAAATGCTGGGAGGGCGTTACAGTACAATATCCCTCGGTATTGATAGCAAACAAAGACCCAGCCATCATGTACATATATTTTCTGATTCATAAGTTAAAGGTTTTTCAAATTTCGAACGCCTGCCACGCAGGCTAAAAATGACACGACATGTAAACAATCGAAAGCATTTTTGGAAACAATACAATGTACACAACTGGTCAGCGGGCTTTCCTTATGCACATGCTCTTTGGTGTTGTCCTTTTGGCGTCCATTTTGAAAGTACTGCAACGGTTGCGAACATGCCAGTTTCTTTGGGGATCAGGAGTCTTGGGTTGTTCCTCATATACCGAAAGTTGAAATCGTTAATCATTCATATATCTAGAGTTGAAATGATTAATCATTCATACACCGAATAATACAGTGGGCACAGAGGAACAGTGGGCACAGAGGAACAGTAGGCACAGAGGAACAGTGGGCACAGAGGAACAGAGGGCACAGAGGAACGGTGGGCACAGAGGAACAGTAGGCACACAGGAACAGTGGGCACACAGGAACAGTAGGCACAGAGGAACAGTGGGCACAGAGGAACAGTAGGCACAGAGGAACGGTAGGCACAGAGGAACGGTGGGCACACAGGAACAGTAGGCACACAGGAACAGTGGGCACAGAGGAACAGTAGGCACACAGGAACAGTGGGCACAGAGGAACAGTAGGCACAGAGGAACGGTGGGCACAGAGGAACAGTAGGCACAGAGGAACAGTAGGCACAGAGGAACGGTGGGCACAGAGGAACAGTGGGCACAGAGGAACAGTAGGCACAGAGGAACGGTGGGCACACAGGAACAGTAGGCACACAGGAACAGTGGGCACAGAGGAACAGTGGGCACAGAGGAACAGAGGGCACAGAGGAACAGTAGGCACAGAGGTACGGTGGGTACAGAGGAACAGTGGGCACAGAGGAACGGTAGGCACAGAGGAAAGGTGGGCACACAGGAACAGTAGGCACACAGGAACAGTGGGCACAGAGGAACAGAGGGCAAAGAGGAACAGTAGGCACAGAGGAACGGTGGGCACAGAGGACCAGTGGGCACAGAGGAACGGTAGGCACAGAGGAACGGTGGGCACACAGGAACAGTAGGCACACAGGAACAGTGGGCACAGAGGAACCGAGGGCACAGAGGAACAGAAGGCACAGAGGAACGGTGGGCACAGAGGAACAGTGGGCACAGAGGAACAGTAAGAACAGAGGAACAGTAAGAACAGAGGAACAGTGGGCACAGAGGAACAGTAGGCACACAGGAACAGTAGGCACAAAGGAACAGTAGGCACAGAGGAACAGTAGGCACAGAGGAACGGTGTGTACAGAGGAACAGTGGGCACAGAGGAATACAGAGGAATCACAAAGGAACAGTGGGCACAGAGGAACTTTAGGCACAGAGGAACAGATGAACAGTTGGGGACAGAGGAACAGTCGACACAGTGTGTTGCGTGTCATCTAGTAAGTGAGGATAAAAAGTTAGCCCAGAAGGAATATAAAGGACATGATAATTTCGCAAGGATCATACAATGGAACGTCAAGAACTGGCAGATCCAGACCTTGGTTAGAGAGGGGTTAGGATTTTTCCTTGACTTTTCTTGGGCAAAATACATTGATGTGGATTTTTTGGGATTGCCCACAAGCTTAAACCGGGGTTCTGACTTTTATGTCGAACAAACGTATCGGTTTCATTTACAGACGTACACTTTTGAAGACTGTTTGCAGACTTTCTAAAAGGTTTGGTAGATGCTTCGGCTTACTTAAACCTAGATTAATACATGCTTTTGTCACTAGCAGACTCGATTACTGTAACGGTCTGCTATATGGACTTCCCGGTAACCGGAAGAAAAACTTCAGCGTGTTTACATCCTTTCAGGGGCACCCAACGAGAATATAGTTCAAAACCTCATAAACATAGCATTGTTGAACGTACTTTAGTATTTAAACGGTAGATAAAGGCTTATTTTTATCCCCTAAAAATTTTTCATCTGTTTGGATTTCCTAGCTGAAAGTTTAGTGATCCGAAAATTATAGGGATCAATATTTACCTTTTCGAAAATTTCAGCCAGAAAAAAAGCTCCCGAAAATTCTAGGTGACCTTTTTAGGGTAACAATCCGTTAAAAATGGGCAATTATACGATTTTTTTGAAGTTCGAAAATCCTAGGAGAGGCAGGGAAGAAATTTTTTAGAAAATGATCCGAAAATTCTAGACCTCAAATTGTACTTCCGAACAGATAATTTTCCGAAATTGTCGTTGGGTGCCCCTGACCTTTTTGTCATATTCATTTTCTTTTTGTATGATCGTTTTCCTACAGAGACACTGTTAATACTAGCATCAGGGAACTGATGTAAAGACAAACTGTTGATGTTATTTCTTTTCTTTATTAATTTAAAGCACATATAAAATTGTATAAAATTGTCAATAATATTATTGTACTATGCTAAAAAACAAACTTAGCTAACTAGAAACATAAGTCATCCAGACTGTATGGACATATCTTGTTTATCTTTATTCATCCCACATCATAACGTACTTGGTCAATGGTTTATAATTAAGACTAGCTCGAGTCTAACAGTGAACAAACATGATCCACTTAGAGGGATAGCAATTTGCCTACTATGCACATATTTTGAGTAGGACATGAAATTGTTTCATGTCCCATAACAATTTGTTTCATGAAATTGTTTCTTAAAATTTTTATGTCATAACAAATTATCAACTTACAGGCTTACGATAGAACAGATCTGCTAGTTTAATACTTGTCCTGGATACTCGACCTTCCTTTTTGTTATTGTTGTCCCACTCACTTATTACTTACAACTACTAATTACTTTTTTAAGGTTAAAAATTATGTTTGAAACAAAGTTTTCCTCATCCCAGTAACTCTGATATTTTAGTGCAGTTAATCTAAAAGGGGGCAGGGAAGGGTTAGTTCTCCTTTTAACCTTTAAAAACTAACTGAAAGCACTCATCACCCAATAATTATTATGTGATTACTACTAACGAAACAAAATGGATCATACTCAGATCACTTAGCACTGTTCTTCAAAGTCCCTTCATAACAACATGGCACTTTGAAGCTTTGATTACACCTGTAGTTTGACACTTCCCACTTACTTAAAATTCTAATATTGTTTTTAGGTTTTGCACTACTGCAGGGAAACAAAAGAATCTGCAGGAGTTTTGCAGTAAATTATGTTTATGAAAACTGTTAATAAATTTAATGTATTAAAGAACGACTATGATCAAAAACTCACTTTCCTTTCTTTCAGATTTTGATAGTATCTTTCCAAAACAATTACCATGCCGAATTTTAAGGCTTTTTTTTTCAAGGAGAGGTCTGTTTATCCTAACTATGATTTTTTGGTTCGCCTGTCTACTGTTACTAAAGTCTGTTCCAGTCAAGTGGCAATGAGAGAGTTTGGTCAAGCTCGAAAGTGACGTTATTTTCTTATCAGTGTAAAATGTAGGTGACGGCAAAATGGCTAATCAACTATGCGGCACCAGATTTTGAGCTTCCAAAATTGAAACACGCCATCTGCATACTAAAGTAACAGTGTTCACGCACAGTAATGTTTAACTGGTGAGAAAATGACATCACTTTCAAGCTCCATAGAACTCTCATTGCCAGACGACTAGGATAGAATTTAGTAATGGTAGACAGTCCTTGAAATAATGGCTTACAATTTGGCATGGTAAATGATTTGGAAATATTCTTTTGAAATCTGAAAAGAAAAGAGAAGTGGTTTTTTTTTATCATAGAAGCACTTAAAATTTCTTATAGAACCCTATCCAGATCAATCCAAATTCAAGAAGAATTTACAGGAGTACCTAAATAACAGGGAGCCTTCTAGAAGTTTGCTCTGGGAGGGTAAATACCTTGAAAGAAGCATAAAAATTCCAACATTCCCTGGAATTTCGAGAGTAATGCAACCCCAAAAAAACATGTGATAAAAAATATAGATATTATCTGAATGTGCATTATAAGGTGCAATATCTTAACTTTTTGGTCCTATTTTCCTAAGGGTCCATTTACTTATCTCTGGAAGCCAACAAAATTCGTTTCCTGTAACTTAGCTTATTATTTCCTTTTATTTTAAAAGATTTGCTAAATGTTCATTTGCTTCAGAGGGTGACTCAGTCGATGATGGCAATAGACCCCTCATCTGTCTCATGACCCACAGACAAAAAATAATTACTGAAAAAAATAGTTGTTTTCATTGTCATAATCTGGTTGACTGGAAGTTTCTCTTACTGCAGCAACAATGGCCTTCACATGAATAAACCACAGGGAAAATATTCCACATTGGAATTGCTTCCAAAACGAACAAAGCAACCAGCCACATAAATGTTTATCATTTTTTTGTCAACGGGTACTAATAATAATTAGCTTTTCACTACATCAGCCAGTTGGCTTTGTTTTTTACAGCCCTTGTAAAATGTTTGTATGGGATTCATTTCAAATCTTGTTCACATTTACAACTTAATTCCTTAATTTTTAGAAGTAGAATGGGCTTACATGCAGACTGATGGATTTATACCAGTCATTAGCTTTATCCCTTAGTCACCAGCAACTGTCAATAAGTAGCAAATCATTTTGTTCGATGGAAAACTAGTACTGCCATTGTCAGATCAGGATAGAATATCACAAAAAATGCTGCTGAGAAAATCGAGTAAAAACATGCAAACAATTCGATCATATTTTTTTTCAGGCCTGTCGTTCATTCATGTTTAGACTGTGTTGCTCACCCTGTAAAATATATAAAAGAAAGTTGCAAAAGCGGAAAAATGAATAAAGTCAGTAAAAGAGATTGAAAAGTAACTCACTTATTCAGTAAGAAAGCAGCAAACCGTATGTTGGCTGTTGTTGGTCGTGAAAACCATAAGTAAAAAGTACAGGGGGATAAATTGTATTACTTAGCAATGAGATTACTTCTAGTTGTCTAGTCCTCCTCTGGTGTGATACCGTGCTCGTTCTTTAAGCGGTCTTCATGCGGTGAGTGGGTGAGAAATCTGTTGAATAAATCCTTATTGATGATGGACTTGTCTGCACGCTCATTAAAGGCGAGGAGGTACCTTTCCCGAGGCACCTCATACATGGCCAAGACATCATCACTGAGATCCGCTGGAAGCTTCTTGAAGAAGACGGTGCTTCTTTCAATGGTTTTGACTGTGCCAAAGCCGTCTGTTGCCAAAATTTGCATGGTGTCACTTAAAACAGCAGCAGATGGCCTTGCATTCCCACTAAAATTGCGCTGGGCCAGACGTGTTGATACAAAAGGCCCTTTACATAGGAGGATGCGCCTTTGCCTTTCGTAGTTGTCAGCTGGGGCGGTCTCTGAATCAGAGGAGACAAGCTGCAAAACATAATAGGAATGAGTGTTCCTGAGGGATCTTGGTTTTGTGATTTACATGTATGCATAAACTAAGGTATTCAACCAGTTAAAGTGAACATCACGAAATAAAAAGCAAATAAAGTTAGAAAGGGATTTTATTGGCTGCTTTCCTTGTATTTTTTCACTCCCATGTTTCTTTATATTTTTTAGATCATGAAGAACTACATCCCTCTCTTTTATTGCCGGTACTTTTGCACTGACTGATAATTTGTCATTCATGTTACGCGGAGAGTGCAAACATTAATTAATTACGTTGCCCAGGGGAAAAAATTAGGTTTTGTATTCCATCCAGAACTAATCCCAACCTTAGCCTGGGGTTGGGGAGGTCGGGGTTTACTTTGACTGGCACATAAAACAGACATTCCAATCCCACAAAGCCAAAAATAGGAAGCTTTAGTTCGCCAAGGGCATATACAAACCTAGTAAAAGGGTGAGTTTTTACATTGGTTTGATGTTTGTGACAAATCAGCAGGATCTAAATGTCTGACACATTTTTTCCCTGGCGTAAACGATAACGGCTGTTTGCTCCATTTGCACAGAAAAACATGTAGTGTGTGAGAGAAAATTGCGTTGGTGGTTGCGCAGCTTATGAGTCAGATGAATCTTCTGAGGAGAGTCTTTTTAGGTGTGAAGTCATTGAAGACTGATAAGTGAACTGATACAACTGTTATAGCTCCTGTCTGTGATTCATATTGTGCAATTAAAGCAGTGAAATAGGTTGTATTGTTGAACTCCTAATTTTGCTCTTTCACTTGGAATTTTTTTGTCTGACCATACTATAAATTTCCTTGTGAGGCCACATCTGGTCTCTGACCTGACAAATGACGTGCTTATAAAAAAAAATTATTTGCAGCCTTGTTTAATAAAGGATTACAACTTTCTTGAACCATCCATAGGAAGTTCCTAAAACTAGGACAGGGCAAAGAAAAACAAGGAAATGGGAGTATAGAAATTATCATTCAGCGGAATTTTTCAACTGTAATTCAATTCTTGAAAGAGAAAATGGTTTTTTCTTTGAGTTTATATCTCTCACAATATATTTGAACATGTAAAAGAAACATGGTGAAATCACCTAGCTTAACTACACTATTGCCCAACTACACAATGTATTTTATCATTTTTGTTGATGCTGAAAGTATTGAACTACTTTGGCATTACCCTGGGCGATTTAATCCAAGACTCCAGTATTATTACAAAAAAATGGTTTCCCTTTTCTTAATCCCTGTTACTGGTGTTAAGAGCATTTGCTGTTGGTTCATTTGTGCCTCCATAAACCAGTCACACATAAATTTTATAATCATTTGATTCATTTTTTCCATCCTTTTCATTGGCTCAGAGCCTACCACGTGACCTGCAAATAACTGCCTACAAATAATGGTCTTCTCATGCGCATACGGGTCCAACAATGATTTAGCTATAAATAATATTCTGCTCACGCAAAGTTGTGTCCACGAAAAACAAACTTACAGTAAAAACAAACTTATTGATCAAATGATAAAACAATTATTATTGAACTCGGTTTTCACAACATATCTTGATTTTTCAGTGTCTCGCAGATCAATTCTTTGCCTCAGCCATCGGCTTCGACAAATAATTGACCTGCTCACCACTGACAAATCAGGATATTTTGCTCAACCTTGTCCAATAATTAATTATTGAACAACCACTTACCTGGTCAAGGATTCTTCTCTGTGCTGTGAAGTATTTGCACAGTGTAATGCTCCTCTGAATTGTTGTGCTGCTAATAACTTGTGATGGTGGGGATTTTTCTTGTCCTTGAAGGAATTTTGTTAGTTGGTCATATAAAACATGTAGAACTACTGCCAGCCGCAGTACATGTCTATCATCTTTGGAGACATCTTCTGGGCAGATGTTTCTTGCCCACTGGCTGTTCAGGGAGGCAGAGATGCCATCTATGAATTCCTCATACCTTGCATTGCCCGCTCTGTCTAGGGAGTATGTTGCAGGGCCATTTTCAGAATGAGAAAACTCGTATATGGCAGAATAGATGGCCCTGAAATTTAAAAACATTTTTTTCTTACTTCTTACATTTTTTGTACAGTCGAACCTCTCCTTACTGACACCTCTATAATACGGACACCAATCTTTTACAGACAGATCTCTTGGTCCCAGAAATGCTAAAAATCATACACTCCCTACCTCTATAATATGGACACCTCTGTAACACGGACACTTAGCTCTGTACCTTTGGTGTCCGTATTAAGGAGGTAACTTGTCTGTACTTCCATGAGTGAATAGGCTAACCCTTGCCAGCTTTCAGGACAATCATATTAACATTGTTAGGGACAAAATAACTCATGCCTATTGTCCTAGAATAACCTGAAACTCCAAAGAGTTGTACAAAGTTTCTATCCTGGTAAGCTGTTGCTGTGTTCATTGTATATATATATATAAATAAATAAATATATAAATATATATATATATATATATAACATTTTTTCTGTAGTGTACACCTACTTACATGTATGGACCCAAAACATTCAGGTCAGTTAAATTGTTCCATCAACATATGTTTAAAACTTGCCATAAACAAAAAGTTACCTGAGATCTTTCACTTCAGAATGATTCAGTTTGGTGATAAAATCTCTAGTTTCACGTGCTGCCAGACGATGTGGCAAAGGCTGGTACATAAGAATCCTGTCCACTGCACCATCCTGCCTTTCCTTTAGTTTCACATAAATTGGAAAGAAGCGGTTGGGTTGGCTGTAGCCACTCACTGACACCCCTGGGCTGTCAATGACTTGACGTGCTGACTTGTCTCCTCGTGTATAAACCCATGTGCTTCCGTCATATAACTGGATCATGCGCTCCATGTCTATGCGGCTCTTTTCCCTGGAAGCACCCAGCAGCTGTTCAAAAAACTGGGATGCTTCCTCCTTGCCAATGATGGCTTTATGGCCAGGAGTTGATTTGAGCTGCCGGAATAGCCCAGCTTCCGTAAATTCATCGACAAATAAAGGGTTATCCTCTTTTGCCTCCACATGCAACCTTATCGGCTGTGCACAGCCGTGTTGAAAGGCAGGGGACTTCCCTGCCCCGGGGTCACACAAGCAGATCATGTAGAGGTTTACAGTTTCTGCCAGTATTCTACAGTCAACCTTGACGGTTGAGGGCCCCATCAAGCATGCCACAGTTGGCAAGACACTGGCTAGCAGGATGTCTCTTGTAGTGTTGTTGGCCTTACTAAATGTATCCAACCATTCACTTATGAAGGTTGGACAGATTTCATCCCATGGAATGCTGACTTCTTTGCCTTGTTTCCTGACTGAAGGGGCTTCAGCTGCTGTTCGGGCCCGTTTGGCTGATGGCGGAAACGCTGAAGCCATATCTGAAATGACAACCGAAAGAAATTCAATACATTGTTTATCGAGTTACTCTGAAAGTTTCTCACCACCTCCGAGTGATAATCTACACTCTTTATTCATTTACTAATTTCCACAAGGACCTAACACATGTCAACTTTTTTAAACTATACTGATTTCTATGGAGACCGCCCCATTAATATTTTGCACCTTAATCCAAGGAATGTCAGTCATGCATTCCAATTTGTCGAACTATTCTCCTTAATTTTGTGCATTTGAATTTTCAAAAAAATTAAGCCAGGGCCCAGGTTTATCATGATCTGGACGAATAGTTTAGTTTTCTGTTTCCTTAGAGAGTACTTAGGCTAACATTAATTTTTGGTGGTTCAGCTTGTTATAAGTATTAGTTATTCCACCTATTCTTCTTGGATATGGGATCTGCAGCTGCAGTCACACTACTTAATAACTGGCAATTAATATTAACCCTTGTGAAACATAAAGAAACATTTTGTGTGTGAACATTGAACTTCCTTGAAATTGCCCTTGATCAGAAGAAAATCCATGGACAAATTGAACACGAATAAAAGAATGATAATTGCTAAGTTATATGACAGTTCCTGGGGTGTTAGCAAGAACCCATAACTGCTTGACTATAAATCATGACAGAGAAAAGGAAGTGTAACATACACTAAAAATAAAGAGCTGAACACATGCTCTGGTTGACAGGATTGAAAGATGCATCAATTTAAAATGGTATTTAACTGAAATCAATGCTTTCCCTGTTTGACGGATAGGTGACCTCATGTCACAAATTATGGTGAATAACCCTAAGAATACCAGAGATTAAAAGAGCATAAAACAAATAGTAGATCCACCAATTAATAGTGTGATTTTATGGTGGTTTAAATAACTAAGAAAATACTGTCTATGCGTAGCAATGGAAAAAAGTGCCTAACCACATGGCATGCAGTCCAGAAATTTTTTCCATACAAATCCTAATACATTCCAGCACCCATGGTCTAGTCTTATGTGCCAATCACCTCAAAATTGGTTTCTACGTAATTTTCTCATGCCCTTTCCATCTCTGTTCTTGTTGCTGCAAATCCACCAGGCTTCGAAGCAGACCTGTTTTTGACTGCATGTGTGATCAGTCTGGACTGCCTGTGCATGCAGCCATGTTGATTTGAAATGTTAAAATGTTTCTCACCGAATTTGCCTTAATTTCATGGCCATTGATCAAGGCCTGTGGAAGTCAATAGATTCAGAGAGTAAACAGTTCATTTTATTGTTGAAAATGGAAAGCAAATACCCTCCAAAACACCCAGCTGTCGATAAACTAAGAGGAAAATTACCTTTAGCAGTGAAATCAAGTTTTGTGTCAATTTTGCGAAAGAAAAGTACAAACCAAGTCGTGATAAATGACTGCGAATGAAGTAGTGTACATGTACATTGTCTTTCGTATAATATATAAATAGCGCAACTTCTGTAACTCTACAGTAAAATAAACTCAATGTATTTTTTTTCAGATACACTTTACATATGTCATGTGCAGAATGTGTTTAGCTCGTAGATTGTGCTGCTGTTTTCAACAGCATCAGCGGAAAACAATGTGTCATTAAGTATTAATTGTAGTTATCGTGCTACAGATGGCCAGCTTTTCACTTGAAAGCAATTCAGTTTTCTTTAAAGTCCTCCTTAGATCTGAGAGAAAGTCATTTATTTAAATAATGAGTAAAAGGCTTCTTATCTGAGTACAATTTTTGGCTGACTATTATTTTATTTGATAATTTGTTATACTTTCCATTTTTCCGAGAAACCAACAGCATAGTATTTTTTCTTGATTTCAAATGGTTTATTTTTAAAATACAGGTTGGGTATGGGCCTACCACAGGTTTGGCCTACAATTTTGAAACTGGTTCTTATTTTGAGAAAATTCTGCCAAACACTGAATACACAATTTTAAAAAAACAAGCTCAGTACCGTGTTTTAATATTGTTTTTGTTCTGATTAACTTGCAAAGCTTTGTTTATAAAAACTTCATAAATGGCTTTAACACCCTTGGAGTAAAGGGATTTTTATAACATATTATGTATGCAATACTAAAACTAGGCCCAAAATAGGCCACCCATCAAAGACTAACACCTTACTTATTTTTTAAAAATAAAAACCTGTTTAAGAAGCTGAGTAGCCTTATTATTTTTTCAGTAAACACCATTTTTATAAGAACCATCTTAGTGTAGCTTGAAAAAACTTAGGTTGTTATACGCGGGTTTTTACTGTATATTCTCATATAGTCCACCAGGCATCATATGCATTACCATACAGTATGTGGGAAAATCACCTCTGAATATGAGTAATGGTTAAAAAAATGCTCTGGCCCTTTTCTGAAAACTTCCAAGGCTAAAGAGTGAGCAAAACAAACTTTAAAAAAGCTTGTTAATGTTGTAAAATAAGCACAAGTCCGGGAGTTATCTTGTCCTTTAGGAGAACAGTAAAAGTAATTTATGGTGTCCTAAATTAGTAGCAGTTGACTACGCCTTAACCAGAGAAGAGGGAGGAGCTCTAAACTCTGATCTAAAAGGAGTTCATGCAGGAAATCTCTGCTTTTGCTCCTGACGCGGGCTCTCGTGAATAATTTACTACACATTTCAACAATACACCAACTATCATTCGGTTCGATTACTCTTTATCTTATAACTAAGATACCTTTTGATGCACTCTGACGAAAATCCTACAATACTTCAAATAAGCGGCAAAATCTCGATGAAAGCCGTCTCTTGTAAAAGCCATTTTGAATTTAAGCTTATGGTGGAACAGCCGCTGTTCAAAGTGCTTGTGGTATTGAACTGGGGCGTTGCCTGTCCAGGTTTTGTTCTTATAGCCCGAATTTTCCTCATTGAAATTTTCTTCATTTACCTTTACATATATATTTTTTTATAAACTACAGTAGGAATACACGAAAATAACACTGGTACAAATATTGGTAGTCTTTATACCAGAGCCTATATAGTAGCTTATATATATAGGCAAAGTAAAATGAAGTTTCAGGAACAACATCCTTCGCTAAGGACGGTTTTCAACTCTTTTCGAACTTTTCTTGCCTTGAATAGTTTCAACTTTCCGACTTTCATGAGATGCAAAGTAAAATAACTTGAGATTTTACTCTGGCCTTCACACACGTATTTTTGGTTAAGTAAAACTAGCTTTGTTCGCAGGGTAAACTAGCTTACACTTATTAGTAGTCTGCGTGCAGCAAAAGAAATGAGACGTCAGCACACAGGCTAAAACTTAGCAGCCTCAGAAAATAAGTTGGGCGCCCGAAAATATCGCCAACACTGCAGGCGGTTTTCGCTCATAGCTCTCCCTTGACCTTCAGACCCTGCAGATTCGTATCTAGGATTTTAGTAAGTGACATGCTTCGTTTTCACTGTAGCTTAGAGATTTTTCAAAGGGCCTCTCCGAAAATTTCTGGCAAAAGGTTTAGAAAGCCTCAATAATTTCAAATTGCAGCCTATTCCCATCTGTGTCACCCTCATACAAACAGAGAGCAAAAAGATAATCTCAGAACACTAAAAGAATATATTTTTTAAGAAAACAAAACCATTATTTCTGGGTTTCCTTGCTTACAACACATCAAGAATATCAAGCGGTAATACTACTGCGCAACACGCTCCCCACCTTAGCCTGCAGCAGCGGTGTATAGCCTTTTCTGCGGGATAAGAGGAAGAGAGAAGGAAAAAAAACGAATAGTTTTGTCGGGAAATGGAGCGCAATTAAGCTAGCGGCGAAGCCACGAGAAGAAGGCTGCACTGGATGTGTTTCATTGTTTATGCGTTAGACTATTAAAACCTCGGTAGAGTATCATGGGTTGATAAAAACATTCCCGATATCAACAGAAAAAAGCATGCAGACTTGATTCTCGATCGTCAACTGAAATAAACAAGCGTTTTTATGATGCATGAGTCCAAGCTGACTTACGATCTATGTTATCGACAACTTAACAATACCGATCTTAGCGTTATCAAACCAAAGAAATAAATGAAAATCAGACATACCTGTGTAATCTTGCCTGTTGTATTGCTGTTCCTTCGTCAGTGGTCGCTGTGAACGGAATACTTGGTTTAAGTTGAAGAAAAAAGCACACAAACGTTGGAAAATGTCGTCTGATCTGAGCGGTTGATACAGGATCAAGTGATGAAATCGATTCCGGCCTCGTGGCTTTATGTAGGGAAACTGATGACCGAGATCACACCTATTGATTGACGGTATATTTCACACCTCTAACACTAACCCATCTCAAGTATATGCTAAACAGCTTGTTTCTTCTGACTGATAGTTTATTATCTTTTTAAAATACCGTATGGCTTCGAAGTAACTTTCTAACATGGACACCATGATAATTAAAGTCATGCAGAAACGAAAGAATTGCAGTAATTGTAGGGAGATTGCGGGAAAAAGGCGTCAGCTTACATAAGGCCGAAATAGTAGTGTTCACATCGATCGCACCAAAAGGAGCAAAAGGAACGGAAATAAACCGATAGACAATTAAGTAATGGTCCACGTAAGAACTATAGTAGAACATGAACGAATGAACGGTCAAGTTAATTCATGGGTTGCACTCCTGTTTACAAGTGCTGGAGTTTTCAGAGAATTTGACTACTTTCAATACTTTTCGTTTACATTCCTTCAGCGAAAGACTTTCTTTTGAGTTTGGGGATTTTAAAAAAAAAATCGCAAAAACTTTCTAAAAAAGATTAATAGCTTGTTCGCGGCTTGTTTGAGGCAAGCGGTTTATCGGTAAAAGAAAAACAATAGCGGAATCACAGCGGTTCAGGGGCACCCAACGCCTGTTTTCTGTAAAATATCTGTTCGAGGAAGCAAATTTTGCCTGGAATTTTGTATAGCTCAAGAAAGGCTAAAAATTTCTGGATAACCGTTCACGTTCGGAGTTTTTCTATAACGGGTCCCTGCCATTATCGGGAGTGGAGTTCAGTTTCACCATTTATTCCCAAGCTTTGGCGATTATTGGTAGCAAAAACTTCCCCTATGATTTTCTAATGAAAGTATGGCCACTCCGTGTCCTCGCAGTTTCGACAAGACCCGTCAGGATACTAAAACTTTCGGATGAGACGAAAGAGCCCCCTAAAACCTTCGAGACGGCTAAAGTTCCCCTCAAACATCCGCACGGATAGATAGTTTTTAGGGCAGCTTCAAATTAATGAAACAGACTTGTAAAGCATAGAGAAATCCATTTTAGACGTTTTTGTCGTGTTTGGAATGATTCGGACGCTGGGTGCCCCTGGCGGTATTTCTTTCCCGACAGTTGTTGCAGTTGTCTGGCCCGATCCGGGATTGTACGCTTGCCATAATTATGAATGTAAACATAAACCTGTAATCGCCTGCCTTTAAATAAATCCCCTATTTTCCCCCGTGAATTGCGAGGCACGAAGATCGTCACAAAGCCTTATATCAGAATTGTAACATTATGAAGTTTCACGACGCTAGTGAAAGTGCAATTAAGTTGAAAAGAATCCTCACATTTCTGTCCATGAAAATGGCACTTGATGGCAAAAGTGGTGTACCACGGAGACGTAAACAAGAAAAAATCCTAGTGTTTGATCTACAATTGAATGCTACATTGTATTTTTAGTACCCGCGTCCCGACGTCTCCTTTTTCCTTTCTTCCTCGTGCAACAAAGAGGAAGAACAGTTAGCCCAACAGAGTGTTTCTATTATTGAACTATTAAATGTAGTAAGTAACTTTTTTAAACGTTGGCTTTCTAGCATCCTTATAAAGAAATAACAAGACAGGTTTTTGGGTTTGTTTATGACTGAGAGGATCGCATTCATTGTAGAGTAATAACCCTGTGCGTGAAAGAATATATGCATCGATGGACTCGAGGTGTCATCGCACCTACGAAGGCGCAAAAGCAATGGAAACAAAAAGAAAATGTAAAAAAATATATCAACAGTCGACTTAACCGATCTTAACTTGCCAAAGTTAATTAGTTTTCGCTAGAATCTGTCAGTAGAAGGCTTACTATGCACAGTCCTTAAAAATGTCGCTCACCTAATCTGAATGCCTAAACGGAACAACCCAATTTGGTTCACGGGCGCCTTGGTGCCCGTTAAAAAAACGAAAGTCATTTGCTTTATTTAAAGACGTCCATGCATTGTATAAATACGGGACAATGCAGACTCATTCTCTTCTCGAGAGGTCTTCATCACATTCGTGACCGACGCATAAATTCGGGCTGTTTTGCAGTCTAAACGTCTTTTATAACAATTAAAAGACGAAGGGACAGCCATTCTCTAGTGTCCCCTTCATTATACGACTTGTAATAAAGCTAGTCGAGGTTTGTGAAGTGTTATTTCCGCCCGGAAGTAATGTGTGAGAATCAAATACAATGCTAACAAAAACTACATAAATTATCTTAAGGCAAGACTGGATGTATTATAGCGGCACAACAAAAATTTTTTAAAGTGTCCCAATTTTAATAAGAGGAGACCGCCAATGGCACATCGACTTTTCAAGGGCGTTCTCTCTATAATTTTGCTATGCGTCTGCTTCGAGGAGTGTTCTCCAATGGGAGATGAAGATTTCCATTTGGCTTTAAAACAAGCTATTCAACGACTTCTTCAAAGGCATGCCACTTACAACAATGATCCGGTAGAACAACGGCTGACTGGACCACAGAATGGCTTTCCTGAGCCACATTCCTATGTACTTCCAAATGCTATATTATGGGAGCCGCACCAACAGCTGCCGCACTTTTTTCAACCCGAATTTGTGTGTCCCATCTGCAATGAAGATGGTAAAGTTATCTCTTTAAAACCCATTGGTTGGAAGGATGGTCGGCTACGTCGTCAAATGCCAAGGCAAATTTACGGTATGTCTGGAAGGGTTCTGCTCATAAGTCGCGTGTATAGATGTTCTGCCGGACATGAACTTAGTGGCCACGATCCTGCCATATTAGCCATGATTAATAGTCAGGGAAGAATACCTTTCTTACTTTCACACAAAACTGGAGTAACAAGAGAGCTTCTCGATATGATTGTGTCAATGGTGCGAAATGGACTGTCATTTTCGCAAATTAACGACATTTTGCTCGAGCGAATACATATGCGTCACTTGAAACTTGAAAGTAAGTTTTTAGAAGACTTGAAACTTTACAGTGCCAGCCATCCAATCGTAATAAATTCTTCTTTCCCTGAGTTCAACCAGCAGCGGAATGTCCCAGTAGAAATACAATTTCTGAATTTTTCCTTCACTACTTTGATTTGAATGAAGATTTGTTTGTCAGAAGAATGACATCGATTTCAGCCGACGCGGAATGGCTTTCCTGCGACCACACCTTCGATATAACTAGCAGTATAGGATATGAGAGAACAGAAGATAGAAAGTGGATTCGACAGTACGATTCGCTGTTTTGTGTGATGAACGAACGAGGGCAAATTGCGACTTGGCAACTAACTCAGACTCAAGGATTTGAAAAAGTCCGTGGCCTACTGCAACAACTCTTTCAGAGATTGTCCAGCAAAGAAAAAAGTATTAAGGAATTTTACATCGATAACTGCTGCCATTGGAGAAAAAAGTTACAAGAGGTTTTCGGCCCCGATCTGGCTGTAAAACTTGATATTTTCCACGCATTTCAGCGAATAAGTTCCAAAATTTCAAAGCGCCACCCCTTCTATAGTAGATGCTTACAAGATCTACGGTTGATGTTTAGAGATCCCTCTGACGTCGGGAAAACGCGTGCAAAAGAAACTCCAGATCCAAACACTCTTTTAAAAAATGCCGACATGTTCTTGAAGAAGTGGGAAAACGTTGAAAGCGACAAAGGCAAGCCAGTCTTATCAGAGGAAGCTGTAAAAGAAGTGCGAAAAATCCAGGAGCACATGAGGAAAGGCTGTTTGTCGGGTAAGTTGTGGCACAGAAAACTGTTTATGGCAGCCCAATCCGATTATACAGTTTAGTAAAACCCCGAGTACAAGAACCTAGATTTTTCCAAGTCAGCATAAACAGTCTAAATAGGTTCTAATGTAAATGGTGCTTACAAGCAAGGAAATTAGGCTAAACAGGTTCTGAAATAGGTTCTTTTTTTCTAAAGAAAAGAGAGACTCATTTTCAGTAGGTGTGATATATCCGTTAATATCAATTATGGACAATATTCTCCAAAATGACAGAATATGCACTTTACACCTATTTTCTTTGATTTTTAAATTTTAGTTTTAAATCTACTGATAACATAAGAATGTACTCTGAAATTCTAGCCTATACAGGTTCTTGTGTAAAGGGGGTCTAAATCGACAATTTTAGCCTAATACGTTCTTAAATTCTAGGTTCTTGAACGCGGGGTTTTATTGAAATCATACCCACTATCTTTGAACACGACATACACACAAACGGGCATCAAACGAAGCACTAAATTTAATCACAGGAATTGAAATTATTTGCAGGGAATATATTGAAGATTGGAAACTAATGCGGAGTTTTGTCGATATCAACGTAAATCCGAGGCAACACTTTTTTTTACATTTAAGTTACTTTTCCTCAATTCTGATTACAGGATTCGGAGTTCAAATAATTGTCTTGAGTGGTACTGAATTTAAAATGTTTTACAAGAGTGTTTTCGAGAACTCATTAGTTGGGTTAGCTATTTTTTTTGGCAGCTAAAACCAAAAGAATTTCAAACAATTCTGTATGTTTCGTAATGATGTAAACATTAACCTTTATGTAAGCCCCCGGCATTTATTCCAATGTAATACCGACGGGTGTGTTGAAACAATGTTAGCCGTTTGTGTATGTTATTTTCTACATTATCTCAATGTGCTTTTAAAAAATTTAAGGTTTGCAGGATACCCGGGGGTAATTCCCTATATGTCCTATATAAGCGTTTTAGGTTTCTTGGCCGTTGTAGTCTTTCAAACGGGTATAGTTTTTGACCAGTTATGAACGACAGAATGAGATAGGAAACCAAGATATTATCACTCAAGGTCAATGTGACCCAATCTTAAGTTGGTGTTCACTCCAGTTTGGAACATGAAGTGATGTTGACTTAAAAAGTGTATGGATTTTAGATGCCAGGTCTTATAGTGGGTAGTAAGGCGGCACTTTTTGGGGGTCGTAAATAGCTTCAAGGTTTGGAGAACCGGCATCTACCAGGGTTTCCAGCACACTATAGGCAGTTTTATTAACTCGCCTACCAGGGTTACAGTAGCTCATGTAAAATAACACCGAAAGCGAGTGAAAATATATTTGGTGGAATCACTAACCCCTTACTGACCGAGCGCTAGTGTTATGCTGATACCGGGTGTTATTACTTAAAAAGCGATTCTCGAGGTTGCATCTAGCTGTCAGATAGGTTTTTTTACCTACTAAAATTTTCAAGTATGGATTGCCAGCACAAAAATCAATTTTTCAAGGTAATTCACTCACTAATGGAGTGCTAGGGCTATACTGGGAAAAGTTGCCTTTGCTTATAATCGATTACATTAACTCTTCTACCAGGGTTTGAATAACTCGTATACAAAAAACTTCCCAAACGAGAGTAGTAATACTTATCTCAGAGTTTAATTAACCTCTTCTCAGATTTACTGAAATCCGAGAGGGAGTTAATTCAGTAACTCTTATTTGGAGTTAAAATAGCGGCTTCGTTAAACCACTGAACATAAACTCCTCCGAGTAATTATTTCTTTTCTGGAGTTAAATTTGCTTTGTTGGAGCAGTTATTATACCTTCTTGAAAGTTTATATGGAAAAGGTTATTAAGTCCTTCTGGCGGATCCAGACCGAGATAATGGTGGGGCCCGGTCTCATAAACATTTTTTTCGGCCCTTTGGGACTCAGTTTGGTCTAAAAATAGGGTTGGGGGGGTGGCCCCCGGGCCCCTTCCCTGGATCCGCCACTGAGTCCATTAGCTCTGCCAGTGTAAACTCTTTTCCCAGTAACATGTTCTCCGCTTATTGCTTGTTTAACCAGGAATCGCGCCGGGAAGAGGAACTAACAGAAAT